GCAGCACCGGGGGTGGGCCCGCGGCCGCGTCTCCGGGATTCAGCCCCGACCCGCCCGCGTCTCCACCCCTCCTACTGTCTCGGTGCTTCTTCAGTTCCCTGGTTATAGGGCGTCTGTTCAGCCAGATCTCAGGAGGCTCTGAGTGATGGTGGTTCTGTNGTTGTGATTTTGATGTGGTTGCGGGAGGGGCAGGCGCAGCTGTTGCCTACGCCGCCATCTTGTTTCCTCTCCGCTAAATATTTCTATAAAAATCTTTTAGTGGGCTGATAAGAAAGAGTGCTAACTATGCCAATAATAGACAGTGTTTTCCAAACTAGACGCTCTGCTTAATGTTGCATATATATCTCGGCATTTATACCAAATCTATGATAGAGATACTAATAGTATCTGAATTTGAAAGGTGTGAAATTGAGGATTAAGAGACAAAAGAACGTGTTCCATGCTATGCAGCAAGCAAGTGCCACGGTGAGAGCAGGTGTGTCTGTTTAGAGACTGCTCTTAACCACTCTCCTATAATAAAGACTGTCTAGACATATAAAAAAGTGTTTAATGCTATACTTGGGTCTTACTTCAAGAGGGTTTTTAATGTTTTACCTAAAGCTTGAGAATGTAAAATAAGAAAGAAAAATTCATTTGTAGCTTTGCTTCTTTCTGTTCAAATTCTCCATTTTTAAAAGACAATTAAAATCTCAATAAAATTACTAAGCCCAACAGAGAAGACACGGATCAGGAGGAACCCTGCACAACTTATTTAACTACTTAGAACATTTATAAAATTAGGCATTAGAATAGATGCTCTCTTCGTTTTTTATGGTTTACACTATCTACCTGTTGAAATTCTACCCATCCTTTAACACTTGTTTCAGTGAGATTATCACCTCAGGAATCTTCTGATTCTATGAATCAGAAAGTGTCTTGCCTTCCTCTGTCTTTCCATCCAGAGTTCTTCTTACCTCTGCAATAACTTTTTTAAATCTTTGTATTGCTATTATATAGGGGCAATGTTAGATGACTACCTACTTGATTGATATAGTCTAATGATAAACTAATGGTAGAGTTTGTTTCAGCATTTATTGAGAAATTGCTACACACCAGGTAGTATTTGAGTCTTCTTTGCTCAGTATTTTAAACAACATTATGATCAATTATAAAGATCAGCTAAAAATCAATATCAGGCTAAGCCTATATTATCAGTTAAGTGGTAATGGCAAGATTAGAATATATTCTATGTTTTTAATCACTGTGTCCATTAAGTTTAACTTATGTGCAAAACCGAGTACATACCTGTTATGCTAACTCACCATTATAGGTTTTTTTTAGGTCACTATAGTGAATGAACAGTTAATTGTATATTCAGTATAAACTTTAAGTATAAGTGATGTAATTAGGTGAAAACTTTTAATTTTAATTTCATATATTGGCAAGACACTCATTTGCTTTAACAAGATTTTTACCTATGTAGCATGTTGGGTTTTTTAAGCATGGAATTTAGCACAGAGACACAGGCATACATTGCATACAGTGCTCTTGATTTTTTAGAAATTGCTCTTTGAAAAAACAGTCCTATTTATATGTGAAACATGAGAAAAATATTTGAGAGAAAAGAGAATTTCTAGCCTCTCTTTTAAAATGAGATATGAGTCTGCTGATTGTATCTTTATTTTTAAAATATATCTTTATTGATTTCAGAGAGAGGAAAGGAGAGGGGGTAGAGAGATAGAAACATCAATGATGAGAGAGTCATTGATTGGCTGCCTTCTGCATGCCCGTGACTGGGGACCGAGCCTGCAACCTGGCCATGTGCCCTGACCGGGAATCTAACCAAGATCTCCTGGATCCTAGGTCAATGCTCAACTGCTGAGCCACACCTGGCCGGGCTGATTGTATCTTTAAAGCTAAAGCACTTAACATGTAAATGTAAGATTTCAATTTTTAACAAAGCACTTTCCATGTTGTTGCCATATACAGATGATGTATCATCAAATTGTACACTTGAAACATATAATTTTTAAGCAACGTCACCCCAATAAATTTAATTAAAATATAATTTAAAAAAGCATTTTTATAGAGAAAATAAATTAATTCTGAAGTTTTAAATTATAAACCTTTAATTAAAAAATTAAATTTACTTAACGAGTATTTTGATATAATCTGAAAATTTGACGGACTATGGGCTAAAAGCTGGTGCTCTAGTTACATATGTACCTAACATCCAAGTACTTGATCATTTCTGGATTTGAATAATGTTGTGTTACTACTCTGTTTGGTTCTAAAGCTGCCAATGTTCCAAGATGATAGAAGGAGGAGGAGAATGACAGTAGTGATGAAGCAGTGACATACAGCTACTCACTATTCACATTGCATTCTATAACTATTGCTGGTGATCACAATTATGAAAACCATGTTAATGCATAAAATAATATACGCTTGTTTTGGAATTTACTTTCCTATTAAAAAAATCACTTGTATCAAGAAAATGGAGCTGACTCTCCCTCCTGCCCTCCCCAAAAAAGAACTGTTATTTAAAATAAAATTCAAGGCATAATTTAACCATTTCATTAACCACCCCCAAACCAGTAAAAATAACCTAACCATAACACATTGAGATTATTATTTTTAATAATATGTATTAAATGCTGTTGCTATCATTCACACAAAATATCAGTTCCTATAATGTACCATGTAAACTGATACTAAAATTGACCAAGAAGCTTAAAATTCAATTTAGAAGGCCTATAATATTTGACAGTTTTGAAAGCAAATGCCCATAGATTTACATATTGATTTTGGCTCCATTCTTACTATATGACTTCATTCTCACATGTGTACTAATTTTGTAAAGTTGGGCTTAAGATTTTCATCAATCTCTCTTATATATTTTACAAAGTCAAGATAAAGTCAACATATTTCAAATTATTTTAAACATTCAATTTATTTTAAACATTATAAATCGTCAACATTTCATATATTTTATCAGTACATAACATAAACATGCACATGACACTGCATTCACCAAAGACAATTGGTAAATTTAAAAAATATTTTATATGTACTTACTTGAAATAAAAGAATATGCCAAGTGAGATAAGCAGTGATGCAATAGATAATCCATGTCCAATTATAGTCAGGTAGAACAAATTCAGTGCAGTCTATAATTTGTAATAAAAAATTAAGGCTCATATCAATACTACAATCCTACATGTATAGAAGATCAAATTCAATAGAATACTATATATTTAAAAACATGTGATCTAATAGCCTTATCATTTAGCTTACAAATCAATAAATAACCAAATACATCTGGAATGAAGAATATCTATGCAAATTTATACAGTGACATCAAAATTTATAAAGCATATGCCCCTTTTATTTAAGAAATTAGAAGTCACATGTTAAATATATGGACTAATTTTATTGATCTAGGCTGTATAATATATGAAACCAGCATTTTATATTTTTGGAAGACATGGATAATTTTCAGTCTATCACTTTGTGCACCTTAAATCAAATGCTATTTGATGATTTTATTTTTTGTTCTTTACTTAAATGCCATATAAGGCTTTTTTCCCCAACTGGGCTTCTGTTTTTCCTCTAACAAATCTGAGGTTCTGAGACAAATCTCAAAATAGTAACTTGTAGGGGCCTATGATCTGTACAAATATGTTCTAACTTTATCCTGGTTTTGATATTTTCTCTTTGATTATTTTTCTGTAATTCATTTATTTGTAACTTACCATTTTATTGTATATTTTTATGAGTTTCTTCAAACTCTTCTTTGAATAAGCAAAGAATACATGATTTATAATTATAAAGATAGCTGAGAGTTATCAAGTTCTTTACTATACTCATTTGTTTTCTAAGTGTTTTTCTTGTATTAAGTCAATTCTTATGAAAATCTTGAAGGTGGGTTCATGTAACCCCCATTTGGTACTTGAGGGGGCTGAGGCAGAGAGAAGTTATGGCTGGCTGAAGGTCCATAGTCGGTAAGGTGCAGAAACAGAAAGTCAAAGAACAGGACTCAGTTTTAATCATTGTGACAAACTGCCTCCTTCTATATATACACACACATGTGCAAATATATGCAGACACTTTCTATCAAAGCTTTATTGTGACAAACTGTGACTAACCTTGACTTAATATATGGTGTTAAAAGCAGGAATGTAAGCGAGAGGAACCTAATAGCCAGCCAGAAAAAAAGCCTTCTGCTGAGGGACAGAGAGAACTGTTTTAACCCTACTGGACTTATCTTTTATACTTGAGCAAAACTTCTAACTGTAATTCTAGGAATTCCACCGCAAATAAAATTTTTCTTCTTTCTTATACCTTTAAAGTGTTTTCTTTGGTAAACTTGAAATTCCAGTACTGAGTCATTGCCTTGTAAACACACTACTATCTGGCAGAATTTTCTCAGTGTAATGACAGAATCCATAGTAATTATTTCTACAAAGATATTTTTCTGATTATTCTTCTCCAAGGATATTATGAAAAGGTTTTAAAATGGAAGGACACCCTAGCTAAATTTTCTCCAATACTGTATTTTTAACTAACTTTTTGAATAGATAATGTAAATTAAATTTTATTTTATATAATTATTACATACCTTCACTCTCTCGTGTGTGTTAATATTACACTGGGTATAATTTGTCCATGTTCTATTGCTTTCTGGATGTCTAAACCAATTTCCATCTTGGTCACAGATCTTTGTAACTTTTTCTTGAAAATTAAAAAGAAAAAAATAAAATAATTTTGTTAACCTAAGGTTTATTAAATAGATGTCAAGGAGAGTGTATGTAAATTTCTGCTATTACCTGAAGGATCAAAGTCTTGAAAGTAATCAGGGCAGTGCTGTATTGATTCCGTTCCCGCTGCGACATCATTCCAGCACAGCCATCCATCCCAGGTTCTATTGCAGTGAACGCCTGAGGGGAGAATTAAAGTTAGGAATTGCCCGCTCCCACTAGGTATACATGAAGACATAAAGTCTTAATTTTTTTTGAAAAATACATTTTATTGATTTCAGAGAGAGAGAGAGAGAAACATCAATGATGAGAGAGTCATTGATCAGCTGCCTCCTGCACGCCCCCGACTGGGGATCGAGCCCACGACCCGGGCACGTGCCCTGACCGGGAATCAAACCGGGATCTCCTGGATCCTAGGTCGATGCTCAACCGCTGAGCCACGCCGGCTGGGCAAGACATAAAGTCTTCATGGTGGTTCACAATGACATGGAATAAAGACTATCTGCTGAAAATGAAGGCATCATATAAAACCTACAGTCAGACGCTGCTTAATGACAGGGATCCATTCTGAGAGACGCATCGTTAGAGGATTTTGTCGTTGTGCCCACATCACAGAGTGCGCTTACCCAGGCCGGGAGGGGATGGCCCGCTGCGCACCGAGGCGGCTGGTGCACCACTGTCATTCATGCAGATCATTTTGACTGAAAAGGCACTATGTGGTGCAAGGGTGTACAGGAATTACTTGAATTTTTCACCACGTAATTATTAGAATAACTAATTTCTAAATTCAAATTAGAAATATCTGAATTTGTATACAAATATTTTAATACTTGATAAATCAACCCCTATTGACCTAATATCAAATAATTTGTCATTGTCTGACTTATTTTAAAGATATTTTTAACTGGATAAATACCTTATGGTAAAAATGTTCAAGCAGATATATCCAAATACTTCTCTAAAGATAAACAAATTATATTGTTCAGTTATATTAGGATTTTAAAAGATGACCAATGTGGGAAAACCACTGTTTTCGCTTTCTCACAAATTCATTTTGACAGTTAAAAATATTAATAATAATCTTCATTTAACATTTTACTTATATAAACACTGTATAGTGTACTATCAATTATTTTTCAAAAATTTTTAAGATCTTTGTTTCCACTGAGTTTAAAAATCTAGAAATATCTGAAGTCTTTATATTTTGCTTTGTTTTATTGTGAGTTTTGTATTTTATATTTGGAGATAACCATGTTTTTAGGGTTGCCAGATAAAATACAGGGCCTATTTTTGTTTTTCTGTTTTTGCTAAATCTGGTCACTCTCCTTGCATTACTCATCTTTATATCTTCAGAACTGAGGCAAATAATGGCACTTAGTAGACCCTCAATAAATGTCCCAAAAATATCTAAAGAATAACTTAATGGAAACAGAAGCACTTATACTTCATTAGCTTTGCTACCAAATGTACTATTCAAAGTATAAGTTATGCAAATAAAAAGTGTTCATTTTATTATGCAAACTCCTACCAAGCAGCTTGTTAAAAAATATAATTATGTAAACTGAAGATCAACTGTCACTTATTTAATCCAAGACACATACTTATTTGATATTTTAAATATCTTCATACCATAAAAATGTTACTAAAAATATCCCCATTGTACATATTAGAATTTTTTAAAAGAAGAAAGATAAATTATATCATAAAGTATTCTTCATAAATAAGTAATTAAAACTGCTCATATATCAGAAAAATTAGCAACTAACTCATTTTTAATAAGGGACCTAAGAAACCCATAATGATGTAATGGGGTGGTTTTCTTTTAGAAACATATCAGTGCATTTAAAATTAAATAGTCATCTTTACCTTCTGTTTGTTGAATGGATTCTTGCATAATTTTCTGGTAACATTCATATTGAGCCGTCATAATTTTATTTCTAGTAACACCCAACGCATTTTGTTTATCTTGGCTCTCTTCTGATTCTGCTATGACAGGAATCTACGAGATTTAAAATAAAATTTCAGAATTGTGAAAATGTCTATCATAGGCAGTCTGTCACAGTGGAAAACAGTAAATGCAGAGCTTAGTCAACTGACTTTGGGGGAAATCCATGATTGGTAGTATTTGCCAATTTCCACAGTAAATGTCCCCTATATAATGTCCTATTTCAAGTGACGGACAAGACACTGGCAAAGGCAGAGCGGGGAAGAATAGTGGTTGGCTTTCGAAAAAATACTTGCTGCACAAGTATAAATGAAAATTTACAACATCAAGAAAATTAAAATTTTTTCTCTTGCTCTCGGGAACTTTATAGAATTGCATAAAATCAGTATCATTTTTATTCTTTTTTAAAATAATAACTCAGATTTGCACGCTGCCTGAGAAACGGTCACAGTTCCTTAAATTACAAAAATTGGATTGGCAATCTGTTACAAAATTACCTGCTGGAAACCACTGTTGGCCTGTGCAGCTCACTGACATGCTCAATACAGGGAGTCCTGTTTCTTGAATTCTAGTCTATTTACCTACGATAACATCTAAAAAGTGCAGAATTTGGACTGCTCCTAGACTTGAGAATGTTTTCAAATACTAATGCTGACAGGAATGTTGCCTTGTTTTTTTCAGTTTAGTTTTTTTCTATATTTTTCTTGAGTTTCTTTGTTTGAATCTTTGTGGGGTTTGCTTGGAAAACCACAGGAAAATTATTTGCTGGCACAGAATTAGAGGAGATTATGTCTCTCAGCTTCTCATACACATAATGAGATAAGAGCACAGTCATGGTTTTAATGTGAGACATTCTAGGCCACAATCGGGGTGAGGAACGAAAACTTTACTTCGGCATTTATTTCTTTCTCAAAGATTCTATTGGAAGTAAAGATGGTACTTTGCGCGAAAAGTTCTAATTAATACAGTCAGATTTTAATGTGAGACAGAGAAAAATAGAAACAAAATATTTCTGTAAATAAGCATAAAATTAAATGTGTAGGGCACATCATGCTCGAGTATATCCTTTCCAGTCATCCTTCGTCTACTCCCCACTGCCAGCCCAGCATTCCCCTCCCCACAGACACTCAGAGGTGCCCATGGGTGTACATGCCCATGCACACACCTGCCCTTAACAGCATCGGGGCTGCCAGAAATGACACATCCTTATTTGAATGAATGGATGCGGAAATTAATTTAAAATATAGTGCATGATTCTGAATTGCTTTTTAATCAATGTAAGTCAATCAGCTGGCAGAATGGGAGAAAAACCAACAGGTCAGGACCTGCTTTTTAAATAGGTCTAACTCAGAATCAACAGGCCTGGTTGAAAATATTTTATCTAGAGATCCAAGGTGGTGGTGGACTGAGTGGAAGCTACGCTGACACTCTCCCGGGACTAATCTGGGTTTACAACTAATAGAAAAACCTTCCTGAAAACCATCCTGAAATCCAGCTGAAGACGAGCTGGAGCGCACCCTCATAACCAAAGAGGAAAAGTGGAGACTGCAGGAGACTGGGAGGAATCTGCTATATACAGCTGTTTTATACCGACGTGCTAGGTTTTTCTTAATATATCTTTATTGACTTCAGAGGGAGGAAGGGAGAGGGAGAGAGAGAGAAACATCAGTGATGAGAGTCATTGATCGGCTGCCTCCTGCACTCCCCCGACTGAGGATCAAGCCTGCAACCCGGGCATGTGCCCTGACCGGGAATCGAACCCCAATCGCCTGGATCCTAGGTCAACGCTCAACCGCTGAGCCGCGCCCGGCCGGGCCATTTATGTATGTATGTATGTATGTATGTATGTATGTATTTATTTTAAGCTGATAGTTACTTCTTCCTCTGCTATCTTGCATATTTGTATTCATTTACTTTTCTCGCTTTGACATTTCCCCAGCCAACTACACCACCATCCCATAGTACCTGCTATGGGACAAAAAGCCTTAAAGTATACACTGAAAGGAAATACATCATTGCTGTGTTGATTGGACATAAAAATGTACCTGATTTTTACATCAAATAATGACATATTGTTTTGTTGGTGGTTCACCTTTATCAACTGTAGATGTATTGGAAGTTAAAATAGAAATAATCATAGCTAAGGAGATATATTAGAAAAAATTATGCTTACCATAAAAAAAATCAGGAGAAACAGAAAATACAGCATACACTTTTTCTCCATCCTTAATACCCAAATAAAATATGTTATATAATATAAATCAAACTGCAATAGAAAATGAAAAAATATAATACATCAATATTTATGAAAAATATACATGGTTCTCAACAGAAAATTTCTTTAAAATGACAATAATTTTGCTGTAAGGATTTAATAGTCTTATGTATTACGACTTAAATTTAAGAACATTATGGCTTAAAATACTAATGAGATTAATTAAATACATTTTAATTTAGTATTACAAACTGGAAAGCTTCTTGCATATAGATTTTTAGTAATTAGAAAACATCTTATTTTCTTTTCCTTTACTAAAATTGGGATCACATAATTAAAATATTAAAATAGTTTCACAAGAACATAAAAGCACCAATTTTGATGGCATATTTACTATAAAACTTACCTTTATTTTCTATAAATATTAATCTCATTTTTAATTTTCTGAGTCTTCAATAATTTAAAGGGCAAATTTTTCTTGGGCCAATTTCTTGAGACTCAATATTCATATTTCATTAAAATGGCCTTATAATTTAATATAAATTATTCTTCACTGAAGGATTAATTTTTTTAACCAGGAAATAAAAAATTCCCTAAGTCATCTCCATTATTAAATTTGGTTGCAGAACATGGACAATACCAAATGAAAGTATTTCTGTAAAATATTTCTAATGGTAGATATAATTCTGAGAAATTCAAAATGGCCTCTAAAACACCACCCCTTAGCTTCTTAATTTTAAGAAATAACATTGCTGGGGTAAAGTGTATAACACTTACTCCAAAGATGCCCGAGCAACCTACTCTGACAGCTTTTTATGAGATATGAACTATCCCGATCTGGTCATAAAATATAATATTTATTTAACTGAATGTGTAAAAACGTTTTTCAAAGGAGATAAAAAGAATTCCAATCAATAGTTTTTGTCAGTGAACTATGAACTTAGATTTCATTTTGTTAGGAAACTTGTCATACTTTTTATTAGAGGGCAAATGTTAGAATAAGAGTTATAAAAACCTTTCCCACATGTTTTATTTACTTTTTTTTTTTTTTTATCATGTGCAATGAGAGCATGCCATTAACCAATGAATAGAATCTATGCCATTGCTTGCCTTCACCAATGACTCACCTGGAAGCAGCTTTTTAAAAATTGTAGCAAGCTCCCAAATAATGTTTTCTCTTCTATCTGCTATCCTGAGTTTTTATTATTAGTTGATCTTAAGAAAAACATAACCAAAAAAATTAGAAACATATTAATTTTAGATATTAAAAATCATGCATGTTGTAACAGAAGGAAAAAAATTAATCAAGTTTTTACAATTCAGTAATTAATGAGTTGATATTTTAGTTTTTATTACATTTTACCATGAGAAAATCTAATTCTCCAAGACTTACATGCACAGTTTTCTCCAGGCTCAAATCACATTTTCTCTTGGATCATAATCAACATTGTCTTGAAGAACTTCTTAAATCCTCAGGTCATGACCTACAATATTGGTTGATATAATAATTCATATTTTAATGAGCCAAACTTATTTCCATGCTAAACTGAAATTTTCAAAGAAAATATCACTATTAAAATGATATTTTTATTAAGCTATTCCAATTTTTTAGTCTCTTTTGCTTACATTACATTTGAGTTTTGTCACACATATATGTTGTTTTCTATTAGAGAAACATCAATTTTCTTCTATTCAGGATACCTGGGATACTGAAAAATCTAACTGAATATTTTACCTAAGTAAATTTCTAAGAACTACAATATGATAAAAAAAAATTAAATTAAACTATAGTTTAATCTTCCTTTGAATAACTTCATTTGTCTAATCTTTTATTGAAATGTGGCATGCTTAGTCTTAGTTACATGTATCTGTTTCCCTTGCTGGTATGGTTTCTCAAAGCAGAAACCATTTCTGATTGATTTTTGTATCCTTTGTGACTGGCACTTAATTTATACTTGCTGTATAAATGAATGAGAAAATGAACCAATAAACTACTTTAAGATTTTAAACTTAAAAACAAGAACACTAATTATAACTATTAGTTCTATTCATTTATTCTATTACAAGGCTTTACATAGTGTTTGAATCTGTACTGACAATAAAAATCTATACTGACTCTGAAAGTCATAAAAGTTAAGTCACATTTAAAACAGTATTTTACATTTTCTGTATTAAATATATATTACACAGAAATATAAAAATAAAATGTAATGAAATATTATTCTATTTGGAAATCAGATAGGTTTTTACGAAACAACGCTTTGATGATTTACACATGAGTATTAAATTACCTTTAATATGTATGCATGTTCAAAAATTGAAGGGAAAGGTGCTCCAAAAACACGTTTGGAGTTTTCCTAAACCCAACATATTTGAAAAGTGTTTTACCCAACATTAGTAGTTATTTTTGTTGCGTATCTAGTAGGCTTCACAATCAAAGTTCCAAAAAGTGTCTTAGTGAAACATCTCACTGTTCCTTATTACATCATTCTGGCACCAGTATTTTAAGAGGACTTTATTCAGTTCACAAAATATTTATCAATGCAAGTAATTTCACTTTTATAGCTTTCCTTCTTCACCCTATTTCTAGTGATCTGGAAAATGGGCCACTAGGAACAAGGGTGAATTTTGCACTGTGTACTCTTATAGCGCTCCTAATCAAGGCTGCAGGTCTTTGGCCCCTGGGTTTACCAAGGATGCAGCAGCAAGTCTGGGTGGCTTTGAAACACACAGTGAGCACCCATACTCCCTGTGAGATCCGGCAATGTCCATTGTACGTGGTGATCCAATTCACTTGAGCCAGCTACTCTACAAACTACCAATCAAATTTCCCTGCCAGCAGATGCAGGCAGTGAGTAGTAGTTATAGAGGAATCACCCCTTTCAGCAAGAGTTCTCTAGATCAGTAATGGAAGGATCATGACCAGACATGTAGATAACACCATTGCAGATACATCTGGAAGTTTAAATTGAGTTTCATATTGGTAGGTACAATGGCGTGATTCTTATCAGGAGATCTGTTTCATTGTATTCCTCGGTTTAGCTCATTGGTTCTTTGCATGCTGCCTCTAACATGTTTATTCAGCAAGTGGTTCTTTCTTCTGTATTTACCGTATTCTAAATTTATCTTTCCTAAAATACATCTTACAGTAACCAAAGCTGTTAAGCAAATCGTGGAAAATCTCTTTCAGATCTTGTTAAATTCTTTAGTGACCACTGATTTGCATGTTGCCTTGTGAAATGTAGTAGCTCTTACTCAATTTTGAGGAGAGATCAAGTATTTAATTAGAGGAGGTCAAGTTGAATGACTAAATCTACCAGTGGACTTTTTCAAGTGTGCTTAGATTTGTGTAGTAGGAAAAGAACTTCCTCAAAACGGAGAACACTCATTTTAAACTCTTAAGTGTACTTGTAAGCACAATGGTACTAGTAGCTGTTACTGGCAATTTCTCTTTCTAACTGCTACCCTCATGGTTCCCATAAGGACTATTTTGTTTTCACTTCTCAAAATTAAACAAACTGGAAGATTTGGTTCTACTATTAGAAACAAAATAATTTTCTTTACTGTACTCATGGAATAAAAATAGCTTATTTCTAAACAGACTTTGTGCTTCTTGTCCAAAGAATCACCAAAAGAAGATAAAAATAATTTATTTAATCACAGAAAGAACTTCTAGAAATAAAGAATGTCTTAAAACTTCAAATAACTCCCTAGTCACTTGGAGCTTTATATAACATCATTCTGTTTTCAGTTTTTCTAAATCGCCATAGATCTCACCACAAGATATTTTTCACAGATCTACATGTTCAAATTCATAAATTTTAACCAACCTTCTTGACTTACTTTAATGTAAAAACGTGCTTTATTTCACATAAAAATTGTAAATGAATGGGACAATCAATACTGATTTATCAGAACACAAATATATAAACCCTATAAAAGCACACCAGTGCCCTGCAAACCTGCTTCTTCTCTCCTCAAATTTTTATTATTCCTGCGTACACATTCCATTAATTTACTTTTCTTTATAATAAGTCTTATTTTTAGTTGAATCGTCTAACCCTAATACTAAAAGCACATGATCAATCCAAGATTAAGAAAAAAACACAACTTTCATCTTCCACTCCTCCATTTCCAAAATATCTTAGATACTTTAGACCCTGAGTTATATTATTTTCTCAATTTATTTATCCAGTCACTATAATGTTGGCTAACAGAAGTATTTCCAATACATAACTGTCTTGCCATTCGGTATCCTGAGCCTTTGTGTGAGCCAAGTGGGGCTGCTCCTATCTGTCCATGCCTTCACTGGTGGTATATTAGATAAGCTGCATTTCTTCTGAATCTGAACAAGGAACCAGCACTCTTCTCCATTCCAATATTCCCACCCGTATGGCATTCTCTCTGTCATTCTACACTATGTTGAATAGACTGTGCATCTGTGAAAAATGGCAAGTGGTTACCTTTCATTCTCTCCTCACTGCTCTTTATGTTTATTTATTTATGTGGTAAAATCTAAGTCTTTGTACTAGAATTAGTCTGCAACATACTGTCTTTACTTCAAATAGAATCTTCGAGAAAGAAATACCAGTGTAAAATTTCCCCCCCATCCCATATCATGGCCTAGAATGTCCCTAATACTTTCAAGACATAAAGCAGTAAGAAAAACAAGCATAAAGAGGCTTCTTTTTCTGAAGGATCTCTTACTGATGTAAGAAATTCGTACTGTACATCTTTGTTTATAACATCGCTTGGGGCTTGCATTATTTTTTAGGATCTTGAATAAACAAGCAACCAATCACTGATGTAGCATAAACCAGTGTTCCTCAAAGGGTTGAGTCCATAGACCACCCCCAATCAGAATCACCACCAGAACTTTCTGAACATGTTTGGGCCTCACCACCGACCCTCTGAATCAAAATCTTTAGAAGAACTGGGGAATCTGGAATTCTAGTAAACACCCAAGGACATTCTTGGCCTGTTACATTTTGGGAAATACAATTCAAAGACATCATCTTCACTGGGCCATGCTGAAACCTGGACACACTTATATTCTTTATATTATGACTCTAGGTGCTGGCCAGACAGTTTTTGAAAGAACTATCAAGTATAAATCAAGCAAAATATCTTGCAATATTTCCAGGCACAATTAATGTCTTAGAATTGCCAAAGCAAGTTATTCAAATATCTGTCTTACACTGTATAATGTTATGTTGTAATTAAGTGAGCATAATAAGAATAGGACACACATCACATCCATCTCATGACTCCTAACCCTAGCAGAGTGGGGGCAGAAAGGGTTTATAGAAAGTGTGTTTTGAGTAAATTACTAACAGAATGAATTTAATTGAGTTGAAAGATCATTGCCTGGATTCTACTCCAAGAAATTTAGATTTAGTTCATCGTGAATGGGGTCCAGGGGTAAGCTCTAGGAGATAAAGGTGGCCCGCAAGCTAATAATAGCCAGCAGGGAAATGGGGATTGCAGCTCTACAACTTCAAGGAATTGAATTCTGCCAGCAACCTGAATGAGTCTGGAAGTAGCTTCCCTCCCACAACCTCTAAAAGAGAACACAGCTCTACCAACACCATGACTTTGGCCTGTGAGACTTGAAAACTAAAAAGTTCACAGAACTTCTGACCGATAGAACTATGAGATAGTAAATGTGTGTTGTTTTAAGCTACTAAATTTGTGGCAATTTGTTACAGGTTTAGTAGAAAACTAATACAAAAATTACCTAATCAAAATTACCTAATCAAAAATTACGTTTTCCCATCAAACCCGAGTGGTTACTTTCTGCTTCCCAGCTAGCCAGTCATTCCTCTTAGAATTAATTCATTATAGTGCAAGACAATCACATTAGCTAGCAGAATTTCTTTCCAGTTCCTCCTAAATTGCTGTGTGATTTTGCAAAATTAATACAACTCTTTTCTGCTTTGATTACTCAACTAGAAGACAAGTGGTACTGAACTTGATCTTTAGCTCCCTGTTTTCTAATGCATACTTGTTAGGAGATATACGCTGGAGTCAGAGAAACATAACTTCAAACTCAAGTTCTTGCAACATTTAAACTCACTAAACATATATCCTGGCTTAAAAATGGGTGTATAAGTAAGTAGTGGCTCAATCAATATTGCCAAGAACTTTTATCATAACTCACCTTGTCAGATTGTTTGTGTTAAATTACTTGATAAATATAAAGGACTTATTGCATAATAAATACCTAGAAATCATTAGTTATTTCTGTGATCTTAAGCTATGATTAACCTATGATTCTATGTTTCATGGCAATGATAATGCCAGTTGAATGAACCAAGGAAGTCCAGCATACATACTGACTTGGCAAAGGCCATACAGATGCTTAGGACTGACCCCAAGCTAAGAACTCAGATTCTCTGGGGTGCTTTGCCCTATAACATATTGACTCAGAGAATTGAGTCATTTATTTAGATAATTAAGTTTTAAAAAGTACAGAATAGATTTC